TAAATTTAATTTAATGTATTAGACTTATTATGCTCTATTGTTTATCATAATTGGATAACTGATCTATGCACAAACATGTTACCATGACAGCACATGATGATAAACCAATGAATTTTAACATTCGAATTATGGCAACTTAAAAATTGAGAGTGAAGTTTTATTTCAAAAAGAAGTGCTACTATGACTAAAAGTCTGAACAGAACAGAAACAGAACTGAAAGCCTTTTTTTGCAAATCTATGACATTTTGTTAATGTCAGAATGAGAGCTGATGCATTGTTGCCTAGCAACCAAGTAAATCTAAACAGGCATCAAACCATCTGCAAAAAAGCCTGCGGTATTCATTCAAATGACTTATTTCATTTTACTTTGTACTTTCTGAATCAGTCATCATATCTGCAATAATATAATCAACTTAACCTGTTTTAGATTCTGCTTGAATCTCTCTAATAGATGATTTCAGTTAAAAAATAGACACGAAATGAAACTTGTTACATCCTTCTGTGCTTGTTTCCATGTTTTATGATTTATCTGTCTGAGATTACTTCTAATGATCATGTTTCCACTGACTAAAAACGCCACTCTAATAATTCAACTAATTCAAGCAAATATAATTTTAATTTAATAATTTGTTCTTGGTCATGAAGTAATGAAAGAATTACACTAGTGTTAAAATAATATTTGCGATTTCAAAAGGATTGATTCATCACTTACAAATTATATATTTTATAGTGGTCCTTATGCTTTAAATCCAAGAATCTGTAATAAAAGAATAACAAAAATTAGTTCTAAAATCATGATATTTGCAAAGGATTAAAAGAACGTACATGACATATCGGCATAGATGAGATGGATCATTCAGTAATGATGGTAATTTGTATATACACTGACCTGACAACATCATCAATACTATTTCTATAATAGCTCTCAATTTTCTCAGCTGGGAAGCCCATAGCTATAATATTGGGATAGATATCTAGGTCAACACATTAAGGAAAACAACAACAAGATGAGCATAAATGGTTCCAGCTCAGTAAAACAGGAAGTACTTGTATCTCCAATATTAATGATGGTGTATAAAAATGATAAAATGCATCGTTTCAGTGTTCTCAACAATCACAAATCACATCACAAATTTATATTTGCCTTGACTTTTGGAAAGTGCATGCCAAAATAACCCGTTATTTCTCTATCTTGCTGCTTGCAACACTGCAATATTCTTAGGAACATTGCCAGGAGTGTTTTCTATGACCTAGACTTCAACGCCACAAAGTAAGTACACTAATTTGCATATCGAAAGTCCCACTGTATTAAAAAAAATATGTTTGTGATCAATTAAAACAGTTTAATTTTCGCTACCAAATATTTTGCAACATTTGTGGATTTTATGTCATTCTGAAAACAAAATTTTGCAAAAGTCACTAATATTCTGCGTCATAGAAAAAATTTACACTAATACAATATTTTGTGATGTCACTGCGAACTGAAAGCAGATTACAATAATTCAATGATTTGAAGTGTAGAATGCCTGTAGAATTTAATAATTTACCAATTTCATATTTCAAGCAATTCTTATGCTAAAAATCTTACTCTTATTAAATTAAAATCTGTAAATTCCATTTAAAAGTGGTTTCACTAATCTGACCGGTTGTCGATACACTCAAGATACATTTATCCCTCATGAAAATTGTTGTTTGGGAATCTGCCATGGCAGCACATAAGCAGACCTTTTTCCCCAGCTGACAACAAGCAGACATAATTTGCATTTTTGCATTTTGAATACAAAACCCTACATAATCATTGCTGTTAGAAGGCACACAGCTAAGCATCCAGGGATGGCATAACTATAGGACATACCACCTGATGGTTCTGAGCATCCAGGGGTTGCAATATGTAACAATAATGTAACATGCAAATTAAGAAAGTACACATGTTTTAGTAAGCAATCCATTGATAAAATGATTCAATTCTAAATTGCCTTGAAAGCAAATAAGCATACGAAAAGACAGCACTGAATGAAATTTCAATGAAAAAAATGAGACTAAGGAGGATTATTTTTTGCCCTTACAGTGTAGGAATGTAGAACTAGGTCATCAACTACTTTGATGCAGGAGCAATCAATACCTAGACTGGACTGTATGTGAACTATCATTATTGAAATGAAGAGACAAACCTGACCTATATATTCTGATTATGTAAAAATGGTTCTTTTCGAAAGACCGTTAAAAATACATTCATCAAATGATAAAATAACAAGACGTAAATGTCACAGTCCCCATGTTTGAAGATAAATTACGCTACCTTTGATATGGATAACAAATAAAAGGGGATATGTTTGATTTCATGTTGAAACAGTACATATAAACACCAATATAGCCAAAGCATGCCAGAGAAACAGTTGATGACATATGTGATTTTAGTTTTTTGGAAAAAGGTTGTCAGTATTCTCCCCAGAAAATGAGTACAATATCAGCCAATTTGCATAACAAAATAATATGTTAATGACTTCTACTGTATTCATTGTTATGCTAAATTGGTTCTATTGTTTATCCACAGTTTAACAGTTGGGAACCTATACTCTATAATGTCCTGGTGAGAACCCTGGCTGCCAATCAAGTAAATGCACATCAAAATCCAAAAACATGCAACCCACTTTGTCTTGCTAGGAAACAGAAAGAAAAGTTAAAAACAGTTTGTCAAAACAAAATAACACGCTTCAGTAACCTACCATGTGTGATGTAAATACCATGTTGGAATGAAATTGATCAAGGCTGACTAGAGAAACATGTTGATATTTGATAAATCAAAAAACAAATCAGTGTGTATACACTTCGTTATGAGTTGTATTTGTACCAACTTTGTACAACATTGGTCCAAAAAATGTTATTGAACATGTGCATGTACCCTAAAAAATAAGAAGTCAGTTGAGGACTAATTAATTCATAGCATGTGAAACACAGATTTTAAAAGTCACAAATTTACAGTCAACAAAATTCAATAAAATCTAGTAATTTGAATATTTTTTTGACAATTTTGACTGACAATCGCAATTATAGAGAAGAGATGCACAGTATATCACATGGAGATGTTAAGTCACTGATTTAACTGGATCATATTAAATTATTTCTCAGTTTTTTTTAAATTAAAATTATTAAATCATAGGGATTCACTTGTACATGTAATTTTAGATTTGACAATAGAGTTGGATGTTCAATTTGAATATGACAAGCAGCAAAGTCCAACTCCACTCAGTTAGCGATGCTTAAACTTTTTCTATGAACCTTGATTTGACATTCAGCGTCCTCTTGACTGGTCAAAAGTTGAACAGAGAGCAGACTCTTTGTCTTGTAAATTAACTAATGTGTTATTTTGTGTACGAAAGAGACGATCTCCAGGTGGGAGCGCATTATTCTTGCATTTTAATAAAGCATGTCTGGGCAACAGAAAAGCATACCTTTATGTATAGGAGTCCTGTCACTTTATGCATTGTGCAATTCATTTCAATATGGTGATGAACTGGGGCATGCAGAACAGTTTGACCTACATTGTGGGCCAAGAGATAGGATAATCCATCAAAGTAAATAATATTAAAAAACAACTTAAAATCAGAACAGCATACTGAGGACACTCAGTTTTGAGTCCCAAATGTCTAAAAATGTCTTACACTGGCTGAAATTGTGAAGGAATATTCAACTATTTGATAGGCACTAAGGTTAACTACACCATGAATTTTGAAACCTGGTCTTGTGTTGAGACACTCCCTCCCAAACAACAAAAACGGTGAATTTTATCATTTTGATAAACCATCATTTAACTTTTAAATACATAACGAGAAGTTGAAGATAAAATATTTTAATTTATCAAGAATGCTGGCAAAAATGATGAAATTGAAAGCAAAAGAATATTTACTGGTTCTACAGTACTACTTCATATTTTAAGGACAGCTAATAAAGCATATTCAACAAACATTCTAAAACAAAATAAATTAACAAGATGATTGCAAGTAATTTTAGCTAATTAAGCTAATCTGCAATATGATGTTATCAATTTAAAATAAAGTATATTCTCAAAATGAGATTGTTGTCTAAACTAAGATTCTGTTCATTCAAGTATTAAGCAAAAATTGATGTGGCTCTTTTAACATAATTTACAGTATTATGCAAATTACCTAATTAATAAGTAGAAAAATATACCAAAAACTAATCATGTATAACATTCATCATAACTTGTTCTTGGTGGAACAAGATTTGAAAAAGATACACTGTGACATACAGTGAGTTGAAATCAGACATGGTTCAAATGCACATGCCTATTGCAATAGAAAATGGTCACCAACCAAATATCAATTGAATTACAATATGCATATGGGAATACAAGTCAGACAGATGAAGGTGGACAAATCTGTTTAAGGTTAGAATGCTAAATTTTGCAGTGACAAAAACTGTCTGTAATTAATAGTACTGTAGAATACTTTATTTTTGCTTGGAAAGTTCAAAACACTACGTACGTTTTTTTCACTCATTCAATCGATTACGCACCCACCATATTTTCAGGATCACAAATTAACCCACAGTAGTGTACCATGGTGATTGGTCAAAAATGCCATTGACCAATCAGAATACTGTGCTGTACTCCGATAGTTTTTGAATATCTGCGATCACAAAATGTACTGCAGAAGTAAAATTTCAATAAAATTTGCACTATGATTTGTTGGCATTGAATTCGCTGCACTACACATTTAGTACTTTTTAAAAGTAAAAGAAGTACTACAAATAGTTTGAATAGCTTTCATGTGTTTTTATGCCAAAACATGGCAAGTGATAGTGTTTTGTTGCTTTTCTAACAAGAAATGATGCACTATGTATAGTATCTATTGTTTTTTGTGATAAATAGACAGTTATTCAAAACTAATTATTTAAATGTGGTTGAAATTTCAATACTTTTCACGGTGGTATTGCTCTACTATAGGGGACCATGAAATACAGGAACTGAAAGGAATATATAAGACATGAAACAATGGACTTGTTTTCAATCAATGTTACCATAATCTTATTAAATAAACAACCATGACGAAATGATCATTTTTGAAATGACAGACTTGTCAAGACAATAAAGTGAAAATTAGATTAGAGCGTCAGTCAAAGGTAACATGATTGTAGAAAGCAATTTCAAAAAGAAATGTATAAAACATGGGAAACACAGAATTACTTTTAAATGGTGTAATAGTTGGTGTAAAAAATTAATGTAGCGGAATTGCTAGAAAAAAAATATCTAGTAGGTAAATTAGATGGTCTAACCATACCTCAGAGTTTTTTTGGCAAATTCGCAGACACTGTTCAATTATAAGTAGTAGATTCAGTAGTAAACAGGACAATGACATACTGTGATGAATCCTTCTGAATACAAATATTGGGATTTGGGTGAGGCACTGCACAAGCTATTTTTATTGCTGACATTACAGTCACATTATGTTTGTTTTATACAAAGATTCTAAATACATCAAAACCATGGAGTAATAAGATGCCCCACCTTAATACCCCTCAAATATTTGCCTCAAAATTTTAATTCAGTCTAAGAGATCAGGTGCTTTCAAATAGAAAATTTCAAGGCCTGTCTTACCATGCAATTCCTGCTTTTCTTGAGTTATTATTGAATGAAAGTTAGAATGCTACTTGCATGTTTTTTACATGTGTGCATATTTTAGCGCATAAAGCAAATGTCAGAATCTGTCTACAGTTATTTGTTTCAGTAATAAGTAAACAATATGTTAACTTTTTGGTTTACTGTCATCTGTTTTTTGAGAAAAACCGTAAATAATTTGCATAAAATGTCCTTTCAGCAGCGGTTTTGCATAGACCACAATGAAAAACCATTTCCTCGATAAAAAACTACAAAAAATATTCTAGACATCAAAAAGTACCATACAAGACACTATATATCATTATTCACTGAGAAATATTCCATAGCAAACAATGG